AAATATTGTTCGTTTCTTGAATGCTTTATTCTAGCCGCTGTTTTAGTCAACCATGATTAATTTTTCATACCTGTTTTCGTAGCTATTTGATTTGTCCAATTGCAGTACCTGTTTGTTGTTATAGGGCTTGAATCCTAGGCCCTAAGCTGACGTATTTTGATGCAAAAGGTGTACGTTGCACGTATCATTCATAATCCTTGCTGTTAATCTAGTTTTATTGAAAATTTTCGTGGCAAACTTTAGAAGTTTTAATTAACCAAATCTTTGCTCATACCGACCAGTAGACAATTGTAACCATAAGCAAAGAACATGCCTGGAAGGAACATTGCAAGGACAGGAACAATACTGAAAATATTTCCTGCTTTGCTCAAAACTACTAATCCACGAACAGATGCTATCCACACTGGATCCTTCTAATGTGAGTATAAGTGTTGTTGTCAAGCACATTTTAAGATAAGTATTTCAGTAGTAGCTTAATACCGATGCATAATTTTGTAAAACGATTATTGAACAGGTTCATACTATCATTCGATATCCAAGTTGGCTTGTTTGTTTGAATATTATTCCCTTTGGTAAATATTGTTATTCTTTTTCGTATACACTACCGCTTTTTGTGGGTTAGTAAACTACGCTGCCTCTATCTGGTGAGTTAAAAAGCCACGTCTCACTTCATATCCGTCAGCTTATTTGTCAACGTCACGAGTATGGTTTGAATTTAAAGAAAAGAGGGTCAAATTGTCTATCCTCAATATTCTTCTAATATTCATCCTTATCAAAAATTGTGTAATGGGGGCAGAAAGAGAAGCTTAGAAAGCAGTGCTTCCTCCTTTCTCAGACCGAGAAAATCTGATATTCGCAGGAAATTTTCAAGGTAAATTAATTTTCTAAAGAATTCCTGAGTGAGTTCTGTAATTATGGTGTTTGCTGTTTTTAATGCGATATCTGGATTAATACACTGTTAGTTAAAAACAACAGCTAAGTCCCATCTACTACTAATATAGAAGAATAAAGCTCAGACTACTTTATTTTTTTGGGTTAGGTTTCACTGCTTTCAAAATATATGAAAAGATGTTAGAAGCCAATCAGATTATTTGTTCACATCGACAGTGCCTGAATGACAGTATAAGTTCAATGAGAAAGCACACTGGCACTTCATACTGAATTGAAAACTTTCGATCAACTGTTTTCATGTTCACTAGATTCCCTCCCTAAATCTTGTGTTAAAAACTTAAGGACATTAGAAACTTCTCTGTCTTACATTTCAATAAGTTTTCTTGTCTACTTTTCCTTGACAATTATTAATGCTAAATAACTCGAAATGCAGCCATTTGTGTCTACCAATACAAATATTGCTTCCAAATTCCAAAAATAATTATTGTTGAATTTGACTAAAAATTTAGGAATATATTTGAGAATGAAGAGCATAGTTTAAGGACATTGCACTTTGATTTGTCGAAAAATTGTATTAAGATTCTTATAGTTTTTATTTCAAACTGTGGTGTTCAATCACAGATACTCGGACTTTCACTAAGTGGGTGAGACCAGAGAACAGAAAACGCCTTAACCTGCCTCCGGATGAATTTTCCCTGGTATGTATCCTTTAAGTAAGGTTTTCTTTAAAGGGAAATTAAGTAAAATCATCTTTGCTTTTCTCACTTTGTCAAGAAAAAGAAAAGTTTAATTCAAGCACAAGTAAATTTTCTTACTTTTTATACTCTTGTTAGGTTATGAATGACCTTGCTTAAAACTACATCATCTTTGGAAAATTAACTTCCGGCCCAGAGCCGTGAAGCCGTAATTTTTTCTGGACTCTGGGAGAGACTTTTAATTCCAAAGGGTTTTCCTAGACTTACTCCATGAGCCTCTGTTTCGCTACTGCCTCACTTGACAGACGCTACAACAGATCTGTTTCCTACCTTATTTAAGTCAAAAGTAGCCTGCGCGCAAACTTTACTTTCTGTTGCGAAGGAGAGCCAGGACGGAACTTGGTTCTCCTTCGCAACGAAAAGTAAAGTCTGCACGCAGGCTAAGTCAAAAGTCGTACCCCAAATAAGTCGGACATTCCTTACGCCCTTGAAGGTTGGACTTGACGGAATTCAACTGTAATGAATGACAAAATGCAGACAAAATGGCATCCATTTATTTAAATTTTCCTCTCGACAGTACTGACATAGACCTTCCAAATCATATTAGATTGTCTACTGTTCGTTAATCTTTTATTCAATTGTTTCTATAAACTATGTTTCTAAATAAAGTTTAGCTTATATGATATCAACTGATCATTAAATTATGCCTACTCTTAGAATGAAGTTAACCTTCGGAATAACTCATACTTCGGCGATGTCAATCATAAGGAATCTGGTGTTGATGGTTCTGATTCTTGCTGCAGTTGGGATTTATTTTGTTTTCGTGATCCATTTGCGCAACGTCAATTTAACACTGTCAAGCACATCTCATGGAAAGAGGTTGCCTAAAAGTCGTCGTGTCATAGTGCTTATTTCACAGCCTCGATCTGGCTCCACTTTTCTCGGGAGAGTTATCAACATGTATGAGGAAATGTTGTACGTATATGAGCCTCTTCAAGCTGTCTTGAAACTGAATAAAGTGACAAATAAATCAACTGAAGCAACCAAAATGTACACAGAGGTAGCTACATCGTTTTTAAAAGAACTTTTCGGCTGTAAATTTTCATCAACAAAAGAGGATTGGTTGCGTAAAGTTTTCAGTTCACCAATGAATTTTGAAAGTTCTTTCTCCCAGCTCTGCCGAACAATAACCGTTAAAAATGCGCGATTGTGCAGCGAACCAAAAACAACAATCTTCCACAGCCTGTGTAGAAAGTGTAAAACGTTATTTGTGAAGTTACTGGAACATCGTCTCCCGACACCGACAGACCAGCTTTTCCAAATAACTCCTGCAACAACAGAGATGCATGTGGTATATTTGACGAGAGACCCAAGAGCGTCCTTCTGGTCGTTTTTAAATAAAGGTTGGGTGAGTGACAGGCTTGAGGGATATTTCGAGAACTATATATCTGAGAGGTGCCGAGAATCACTCCTAAACATAAGGCGAATTGCTGTAGGAAAAAGAAAAATAATCATTTTGCGGTATGAGGATTTTCTGCATTCTCCTTTAGCCATGGTAAGGAAATTATCAAACTTTCTTGGAGAGCAAATGAACTTGGAATTTCAAGAAAATTACTTGCAGTTAATTCACAAAGATGAACGGCGCTGCTCAAAAAACGGAACATATATAAACCCGACTTTAACAAGACCTAACTGGCGCACTGAAGCAAATTCAAATTTTGTACGCATTGTTGAAAAGCATTGCAAAGAAGTTATGGATATTCTTGGGTATAGAAACGTGAAAAATACGGTGTATAGCAATTGTAATAATAAATACCTCGTGGAGTTAGAGGATGTTCCTTTGCTCGCACGATTCAATTACAAAGAAGATATCTATTGATTTGTTTGTTTTGAATGTACTTTTTCAGAAATCATAAACCATTCGTAGTTGCAAAGTGATGACGTCATACTAATATGTTTAATGAACTTTTGATTTTGGTCAAATTAGTAGACAGGTTCGTCCCTAGCTATTATGATCAGGGTAGGGGACGGGGATGCTCCGACCCTATTTCCTGACAAAATTGGTGAACCATATTGCGTATGAAACAACCTGTACTGTAAAGGAAATTATTGCTAACTCAAAAATGCGCCTATTCCATTAATTTGGTAAACTCGTGTCACCATTCAATAAAATTTGCAACAGGGCTTTATTTAGGGTCGCAATAGAGTGTACATTCCAGCGAGGAGCTCAGTTCTTTGAACCCAGAAAAAGGGCAAAGCAGCATAAAGTGCTCCGTATCCTCAATCTAGGGCACATCTGGTTTGTTGTGTCTCTAAAGTTGTGTTGAAATTTGTTAAAATTTTGCTCGCTTTGGCTAACTCTGAGCTGAGGCCCTTCGGATCATGAATCCCAAATACAGATTTTTTGGAAGGGCGTATCATGGTTAGGCATCTACCACGTCTTTGGAGGCTTAGAGATTCCCACCCGAGATCAAGGTACAGCTTATCTCGAGAAGTCTCCCTCCAAGCTCCCGTTACAGTTAAGCTGAGAAGCATAGAACAGCTTCTAGCTTCTCCATTAAACTTGAAACAGTCATACTAACAGTAGAGTCACATATTTTTGGTAGATTATGGTAAATTACATCTCTGTAACCTAAGAGGGATCGAATATAGAGCTTGTTTTGTTCATTTAAAGCTTGTATATATCATTTTCTCAAACTTTAGTGGAAAAGACTCATAGATTTCCTTTCTTACTTTTTAAAGCAAACGGCCCTGGTGGGGATCCCCACTTTGCCACCCAGTTCAGACCTCGCCTGGCAGCAACTATCTTTATTATTATTTTTTACAGAGGCTCAACAAGTACTTTGTTAGACAAGTAGTTGTGTCTTATGCAATCACCATCATAGGCTAAATTAACCTCTTGCTAATAACGAGTTTAGTAACAGCATTGCCTCATTCTTGATTGATAGTGTAGCTGGGTACATGGACGGTTTTTAATCCATTAAAGTTAATTTCTAGTCTCTTCATGCAAAATTTCTTCCTTAAATATAATCTCTTCCCACCTTTTACCTATACTGTATGTTTAAAAATCTAGCCACTTTTTACATAGATGTAAATTTCCGACATGGCTTGAGCTTTGTCTTGAATCGGCACGTCTATGCTGATTAGTATCATGCTGTATAATTTTCGCAAAGCATCCTATTTGGCTGTTTACAAAATGCTAACGTTGAAACATAAGTTCAGATGCTGATTTGCAAGAGTTCGAAAAACGTTGCCTTTCGTGCTCTAATTAAGCTGCGCAAAGCTACTTTCAAATACATCCATTCCATCATATAAACCTAAGCCCTTTAACTTGCAGTATGCTTTTTTAGCTTGAGTACAATTGTCTTAGTGACAGGTTTTCTACTGTGTACCAATAGAGCTCAGTACGTATAGAGTCATTGCATCACACATACACTATTCCAGTGACATACAGTCATGTAAAGAACTGGAAGAAATTATAAGAAAAACTGGCAATTTTGGTTTCTGTTGACTGTGCTAGCCTCTGAATAGTTTAGATGGTTTGGCATGAAACTAGGACTACGTTTCCGAAGGTGGAAATACCATTAAAAATTGCCTAAATTTTGCTAAAACACCAGAAGAGTACCAATGCAATGTTGCATGGACATGTCTGGTAAGATTAGTTTAAACTAGCCTTTGAAGTAGAAAAAGTCTACGACCAAACAATTAGAAGCAGAAAAGTCAAACACGGCTAGTGTTGAAATATTTTGTGATAGATTATATTATAATACGATATATATTGCGACAGGGACGTAAAAAAGTGGCTAATTTTGGGGGATCGTGGAAGGTTGAAAATTCCAACTTTACCTGATGAATTTTTTCTTTCGACCTATTAATCTTCTGTACCTACTAAATTGATTTTTGGAAATAGCCTTATGGCTTATTCCAGATTTCTAGGTTCTGTATAATTACCAACATTTTACTTTAAATAATTAGTCTTAAGCATAAAAGCAATAAAGAAGATAAAGGAAATCTCTAAATTTTGATTAACGTAAAACGTACACATAATCTTTTCGTAAGATGTAAAGCAACATCAAAGCCATACCAGACTAGATCGTGGGTATGTTTAATGATAAAAATTAATATTCTATAAAGTCGATTAACAGCAATTCTGTTCTTTTTCTGCTTTGCCCATCTTAAAGCTATTTGCTGCAGATCAGTTTTATATAAAATATCTTCTTCACAATATAGAAGCATCAAAGAATTTACCATTTCATCTTTTGTTTTTGATCGAAGGAAAATCTTTAAAATTTTCAAAGGACTAAATGTCCTTTGCTTTTTGGAACTGAAAAGGGTGATCTGAGGGCAAGTGCATATGCCTGATTTGTAAGATAAAACACTCGTCTTTGATCAAATACTTCTGCTGCCGCTTCTTTGATCAATGTTTTGTGGCTTCTCATCACCTTTTTCATAGCAATTTATAAAAATATTAAAGGAGGTCTACAAAGTGCAGGGGGAGCTTAGCATACACCCGTTGAGAAGCGTTGATAATTTCTAGCAATGAAAGATTTGTAATGTTTTAAATTGAATTGGCTACTCGTTGTTTCTTAAAAAATTCCCACTTTCAATTGTTCTGATAAATACAGGGAATGATTTTTTAAAACTTTAGGCTCAATCAATACTGATGGTAAAATTTAAACTTCTTATCCAGAAATTCACCTGGGCTGTTTAAAATAACCTAATTCAACTTAACCCCTGTCAAAAAGGAAACAAACGATGCAATGGTACAATTTGAGCTCCAGTGGAAACAGGGCTTCACAATTAAAAACGATTAGAAGGTGTGCCTGCTCCAGAGTTTCAATTTTAATAAGGTCTAAGATTTTTACATTGAAAGTCCCAAAATCCTAAGCTATAAAATTCACATATTTGGTCATAGTGGTTAGAAAAAATTCCAAGTAAACTTCTAAGCTTTCCAACTACAATTGGATTTTCCAACCTTTGAGGAGGCGTCACCCCCCCCCCCCACGCCCCCTATTATTTACGTGCCTGTATTGCGATATAATAATGCGTTGGTAATTGCGAGAATTAATTTACTTTCGGCAAAGAGCAAAGAGAATGAAAGGGAATGGTAGGACAATGGGCTATACGAATGCCAATCAGTGTTTATTTCAACGGGCAGTTATATAACAATTTGGTATACTAATAATATCGAGCAATGATAGAACTAAAATGAATAAATTTTGTCTTAAAAAGTGTAAATTTTGTAATGAAAGGATTTATACTTTCTCACAGAATAAATCCAAGATTAGCATGAATTGAAATTCGGTTTAAAATGAACTGCTCTGCTTTTGTCTTGGATCTTGTCTACTGTTTCATTGAGATTAAGCTGCCCAAATCGTTCCTGAAATGTGCTAAATTTTGTCTGATTAGAGGAGGGGGATACAACCCTCCCAACCCCTGATTCCTTTATGCCTAGAAGAAAGAAAAGGGATTGCCTAGGCTTACCCTTGTCAAAATATTAAAGACCATTAATATAAATTATGAAAATGATAATCTATATTTATACAGGAGTACTTGTTAAGCTTGCACAGAAGCTACTATCAGTTAAGGTCCTGTTAAAGTTAAACGTCTGAAAGGAATTAAAAGATATAAAGTTACCTGTGCAAGATGAAATATTAGAAGCTTAAAAAGTTAAAAAACACAATCAAGGTGATCGCATTGTTTCTTGAATTTCATTACTAACTGTTTTCCTTTCAACGTAACTGTCAGATAGATCTTTACATAATTTTGACTCCTGGAAAAGGGATAATTTGCGGCAAGCTTCCGTGGGAACTTTTGAAGGCAAGATGATATATCATCCTTCGAACAGTCTCGGTGCAAGTCCATTTGGGCATTTAAACACCTCGATTAGGCATCTCTTATTTTTGCATGATTCACGGTTGGCAGTTTCACTCTATCGCTCTTATCATTGATGATAGTTAATACTCTATTCCGGATTCTTTCAAGTTGTAATTTATGCGTATTGGTCATACCGAGCATGCAGTGCAACATCTGTGGTAAATGATTACTTTATAGATCGTTTCTGCTACCCATGGGCTGATGTTATGTCGTATACGAGCCAACAATTTTGTTCTTGACAACACTGTTTTGTAAGTCTTTGCAAGGTGTTCTTTAATGGTCAAATTTTGTCCAAAGTAACCCCGAGATATTCGTATGAATCGTTTCGCAGATCACTTTATCGCTTAATGAAATGCTTACGTTTTCCTGACTTTGCGAGTCTTTGGTGTGTTCCGAATAGTATAAATTCAGTTTTTTTTCTGTAGGTTAAGAACGAGATTGTTACTTGTGAATCATTTTTTGACGATGTTAAATTCAGTATTTAATATTTCCTCAATTGTTTTGCTGTCTTCATCGAATGTAAATATAACAGTGTCATCTGCATAAAGCAAAACCTTACACTTCTTGATCTGGTCAGTGGTAACATTTAACACTATTTTAAACAGCAGTGGACCCAGTATGGATTCTTGCAGAACTCCACAACTGATTGAATGTCTTTTGGAGTATATGCTTTTAATAGAAACAAACTTTTGCCTGTTGAACAGGTAACCTTCAAACCAAATAAATTCTTTTCCATGTACTCCATATATTGGCAGTTTGGCTAGCAATGTTGCGCAATATATTGTGTCGAACGCTTTTCGTAAGTCAACGGAAACTGTTCCTGTAAATTTACCTTTATCCATGTTTGTCTTTATGTAGTCAGATAGATACGTGATTGCATGGTCAGTGGATGATCTCCATCGACAGCCAAATTGACAGTCCGAGAGGAGGTTGTTTTC